ACGATTTTTCATTATCAAACAGTATTTACTCTTGAGAGAGAGACCTGGAACCAAGAGTTTACAAAGCAGGAAGCAGTAGATTTTGCTGCTAATTGCAGTATCCAAAAAAAAAAAAAAAAAAACAACCACACACACACACACACACACTGTGGGGGGGACAGATCTGTCTTATAGCACAGAAAATTCTTGCTTGAGAATTTAAAGAAAAGAACAAACACTGCATGGCACAAGTCAAAGCTGAAAAACCTAGACACCTCCACTCAATTCCTATCTCACACGGCATTCTAGAAATCCATTATAACACAGCATTCCATGAGATTCAATCCAGTAGAGGCTAATAAATTTTGCCAGACAAAATATAAACTCTATATAAATAATAAATCACAATAATGTACGTATTAGTTTTGCATACAAGGAAGGCTTCTAAATCCCTGCACACAAAATAAAGTGGATGAAAAGAGTTGTAGGAAGGGTTTCACATCAGAAATTGTTTGGTGAGGATCAGATTTTAAACAAAAGCTATTTATTTCCCCATATTGTTTGTCTGCAGGTGAAGAGCTCAAAGGGATGGCAGTAGCCCTGTTAGCTTTGAAGCACATGTATTCCATTCAGTAAGTCCTTACCTAATCAAGGAAGTCAACCAAAATCACTTTTAGTCAGTGCAGAAGGAAAGATTTCACCAGATGAAAAGACATCACAAGCATCCTCTCCAATCAGGAAAATACTAATTTGGCTTGCATTCACCTGGCAGCTTCAGGTGAACTAGTAAGAAGCCTATGGAGAAACAGCTAGGGTTCCTTCCCCTTTGACAGCACACGAAGATCATCATTTTTAATCATCAGCCAAAGCAATTGAATCCAAGCACATATTCTAACAAGAAGAACGCTACTACTGAAGGAAAAGGGAGGGGAAAAAAAAAAAGGAATATTTTAGAAAGGTTAAGCATTAAATATCTAATTCGTGCCAGGATTGAACGTGCTACAGACCGACTGGGCTAGTAAGCAAAGCAGTTAAAGACGGTCTCTATGAAGTCAGCCACAAACAAAATTCAGCCTTATCTTAGTTAAACAGCTGAAAATTAGTCAGTATGGCCGGCAGAACAAGCCGAATCACAGTATTCATTCGCTCCTTAAAACAACTTGTCAGGCCTGTACCAAAACTGAGCAGAGGAGGACACAACCAACAGTTCTGTAACTTCATTCAGAAGGAAGCTGGCTAGTTTGCTGGACACAGAAAATATACAGTAGCACCAGAAGGGGACCAATATATGCATGTGTTTTTTGGCTAAATGTCTTTAATGGTAGGCGTACATGGGGTCTATCTCAATCTGTTGCAAAGATACTAATTAAAGAAAAAAATCATAACTTTTAAAGTGGGTAAGTTCTCATTTTAATTATACGGAATATATGCTCAATAAGTAATAAAATATTGTAACATTTACAAAATTACATAGGCACAATCCAACAGCCTTTTTGTTATATGCTATCTCATTCTCTTCTAGGGTAGTTATTTTTTTCTTTAGCATCACTCTATGTCCTTCTTGCCCCTTCTAGATGTGAAGAGTAGGAATCTCAGTGTAACAGGTAAAGAATTTAGGATCTAGAAGAGGTGGTCTTACTCAGGTTTAAAAAAAATTGCTTCCAGTAAGAATTTTGTTTGGTACTGTTTTGACATTTTACCTAAATCGTGTTTGGGACTTTGTTTCTGCAGGAGGTTTTTTATTGTTAGCACTTCAAAATAAAACAAAAATAAAAAGTTTGCACTTTTTGTCTCTATGAATGGCTGTGTTGCTATCAAGAAACTAACATACTTTTGCACAGAATCACAGTGATCTTTGTTAGGCTGTATCTATTTCACTTTTTGTTTTTTCAGTTTTCTCCTACTACTTTTAATTCATAGCTTTTTCATGTTAAGGAAACCTAAGTTCTGTAGTTACATCAGTTGTAGGTAAGAAAGGACAGCCATCACCTCTTGGGTACGCAAAATAGGACAGAATATTCAGGATCACTTCAGTCTCACAGTTTTAAGTAAGTTTTAAAAATTGGGTTTGAGAACTTAAGTGCATCCATCACTTTGAAAGATGACGTAGGCACTTCTGGAAGAAAGAAAAAAAGGAAAAAAAAAGAAAAAAAAAAGAAAGAAAAAGATCTACTCCGTATCCCAGGAACAATGCTGTTTCTGATTTCCCTGCCTCCCACCAACACAGTCTAAAGCGCAGGAAAAAAACCCTTTACAAATGATGAAATATTTGCCCTGAGTGGCCATTCCAAGAACTACAGTATTTTTATTATTATGCACGATTTTAATTTTTCATTTCAGGAAGAAAAAAAATGTCCATGATAAGTTATGAAAGTTAATAGTTCAAATCAGTGTAATATTTATTCAAAAAAATAAGGATGAAGTATATATAGATAGGTACAAGTAGTAAAAATCAGTTTTCATTTATTACTACTACAAACGTATAGCATATTGATAGGTGGATAACATTTACAATATATTATAAACTACTAAATACAAAGCTCAGAGTAAGACCTATTTATTGTACAATTGCTTGTGAGAAAACATTTGCTAAAACTGTTATATGACAAGATATTTGGCTGTACAACACAATGTTGTAATCAAATGATACATCAATTTTTCCTATATTATTGATTCTAATGAGTTTATTTCAGTATGCAAAAGAAGCTCTCCCATATTCGCTCCTTCACTGTTTTTCCTTTAAAGTGAGATCCAAATTTAAAAAAAGAAAATTCCAAGGAAACACTGTTACTACTGAATAAAGCAATCTACAATTTACCAATTGTGGTCCAAAGAGTTCTCAGTGGTGTTTCCAAAGTCAAAATCCTGTTTATAACAGAAGTCCTTGAATCCATTCAGTTCAAAAACCTCCTAAGCAGGGCTACATGTCTGTACTTAACAGTTTGAGCATTACTTGTTTACAAACAAAAAAAATAGAAAGCATTTTCCAAAGTATATTCAACATTATTGCAAATGCAAGTTCAAACCTAAACAAATCATGCTAGACAACTAGTTATTCTGAAATAATTGTGCCCTGAGCAACTTTTACACCTACAACAACATACACGCACATTAAAAAAAAAAAAAAACCACCACCTATTTTTATAGTTTGAGTTTCTCCTAATATTAAGAAACAACAACAACAAAAAAAATCCCAAACCCCACACCAGGAATATGTGAAAACTATCAGCTAAGAATTACATTTAGTCACCAATCCAAGCTAAACGCACATAAGCACTCAAGTTAAGCTTCTCACAGCCCGTTAGTTCCCCAGAACCAAGTATTTTCACAAAGACATTAAGAACTTGTTTGAATAAAGCCTGCTGTCAGGAGTGGCTGCACCAGTACAATGTGTATCACAATTTCCTCACAATACCCACCACTGCTTGTGAAGATTCCTGGTACTGCATACCGCTCCCCAAATCAGACTAACGCATACAACTTGCTACCCACTCCCATCTCATTCTCAAATACACATCTAAACACAACATACAAAAATATCTGAACAAATAGAGTACAGTCTGTAATGAACGTGTAAGTACAGATTTATCATTCAACCTCTCAAAATTCCACGTGCATTTCATAATTCCATAGGCAGTGCATGTTATATTGGTTGTGTGGGAATGTCTCAAGTTCAAAGTTAATCTCATGTCTTTTTGTTTCTTCGAGAGACAACATTCAACGTTTCTTCAAGTCTTTCCATGGCTTCTGGGCATGCCTATGTTTTTAGTATCTCGGAAACCTATCCTGTCCCTTTTGGTTTAGCTGTGACAAAAGAACAATGCTTATGTTATGCTTTCAGTTGCGCTATTTACATAGCTATTTACATGTTTCCAGATTTGCTCTTCGCACACTGCATACACACAAGAACAGCCATCCCCAAAAGTAGCAGAACTGAATATCCAAAGAGAAAATACAAACATAGATGATGCAACATTACGGAACTTTTAACATTCAACACCAGGCTCCCTTTCTTTTGGGTCATTGGTTTCTTAAAATCCGACAGAGATGAAGAAAGACCCCAGAGCAGCGTACAGAACTAGCACCACTCACATATTAAAGCTTGACCTTCAAGAGCAAGTACGGAAATTCTTTCCAAGTAAAACAATCATTTCGCAACACTATCCCTAGAAACTCAATCCTGTATGTACCAGGCTACCATGAAATAGGATAAAAAAAAACAAACAAAAAAATCCATAAAATCCTCAAATTCCATACCCTCCCCCAAAATATTTAATGTTTTGGAACCATCCTATTACACCATAAATCGTGTGATTAACATTTGAACCTTCCAACTAGTATTAGAAATGCTTCAGCTAATCTCGCTCTATAGTATGTAAAAGACCACCACTCAGTATCAGAATTCTTGATTTGGAATTATTTTTAACAGCAAATATTTGTTTAGCTTAATAGGCTTGAGAATAAATAAAAACCAAACCAAGTAAAGAAAGATGAAAACACGCATAGCGATGAAGGTAATACACAATCTTGGAATCTTATGTTGCACAGTGAAGGAGATTCGACATAGTACAGGTACATAGCCAATGTGCAATCAGTACTCTCACAGCTCCCACCTGTAAGTGCTGCGTATTTTTGAATGTTTCAACTGCATACAAGCAGGCTTTTGTATCTGTAATAATATCACTTATGGACTAGAAAATTTACATGTCAAGCTTGCTAGTAACATACTATTAAATTATGCTCTCATAAGAAAGAAGTAGAAATTATTAATAGAATTATTAATTTCAATGAATTTTGCTTAATAAATAGGTATTGCTATTACTGTAACATCAAAAAAAAGTCAGTTGTAGAAAGAAGGTTCATTCCACCTGATTTGCACTGACTTGCATTAATTTCATTTTTAGAAGTCTGTGTTACTAAAGACTTCTAACAAAGAGTAAAACCATGCTATGAAGAACAGGACAAATTTAAGCAGTAGGAACGTTTATTTTATCTTAATTCATAGGCTAAGAAATAATTACCTGTTTGTATTCGCCAACGCAGTTCTGACAGCAGAATCTTTTCTGCTGACCATCAATAGTAAGAATATTGTTTCCAGCTCCTTTACTGGGCAAATACTCCCCACAGTGCTCACAGCAATTCATTATTAAACCATTCGCCATCCTGTATCTATTGAAGCAGTGGTCACTGCACAGCTTGTGTGTCATATTTTTAAAGCTAACTTCATGACGAATCTAAAAAATAAAGAAAGTATTTCATCACCACACAAGCACAAAGTTACTGCTTAAAACTATCAGACAAATCAAGTCTCATGCTCAAGCATAATTAAAAACCAGATTTCACTAGCTCACTCCACAATTTAGTGACAGAGATGCTTGAAACAACTATGAAATATAAACATTGATGTTTCTGTTGTCTCCAGATTTCTGGGCAAAATCTTGGGCCTGTTTGTTCTTGAAGCCTAGAAGCAAAGGTCACAGAGAAGGATATAGCAATAGTCTATTAGAATAGAAGGTCAACTTATATAATTTTTGTCAAAAATTCAATTTGCAGGCTGACAACACGGCATATGAAGATTGGTCAGACACACACGCATTCAAGGTTGTATAAAGGAATAACCTGAAGTATGGTGGGCCCAACAATGACATTCAGTGTAAATACCTCAATGAGAATTTATCATTTAATTAAGTATATTTTACATATATCTCTAAATTTATTTGAATAATCTTTCAAAATATGTCATATAGTAAACCAATTTTCAACAGCAATTCTTGCATGCAGCAGATCTATCTGTATTATAATTGCAGCTTTCAGTGCCTAACAGAATCATTAAAAGTAGGTACAAAATATTAACATGAGGCACTCTGTTTCTTAAAGTTCCAACAGAGAAGGCAACAAGAATAATTTTAACCTTTTTGAATTCTTTCCTACTTCAGTCATTCTTAATAAAGATTAAACCTGTCTCGTTGCATATGAAAATATGAAAGCATTTGAAAAAGTCTCCTTATGTTCAGCTCTCTTATTTAGAATATTTAAGTTATTACTATTATTGTCGGGGCGGGACGGAGGGGAAAAAATAAAGTCAACCAGACCTCAGTCAGTTTACCACAGATAGTGCATCTTGATTTATTCAAAACTCCTTTTGAGGGATTCTGTTTATCTTCATAGAAAGATAAACATGATGTACTGCAGAACTCCTGGAAAGACTCGCTTGAATCAACTTGAGCAACAATGGTACCTTTCATTGTTGTTATATCTCTGAAAGACAAAACAAAAATACTCTACAGTGTGCATGTATGTGTATATATATATGTATATGTATATATACACACACACATATATATATATATATATCAAATCACAATATTTTCCATCTCCAAGACTCGTCCTTCTTAATGCTTACATTTCAAACTGATTTTGGATGTGTGCTATTTTAAGTCCTATGTCAAACACCAATTTTGATAACATTTTTACAACTAATATTTACAACTAATATTAAATAAAGTACACTGTATTTTCAGCTTAACAACTTATTTTGTTGTTTTAATAGAGCTTCTTTTTTTTCTCCACATTTACATTATTCCAGAACCAAGTATCTTTTCTAATACACCATTAAGTACCAAATGTGGCAAACTCAATCTTATACAAAAAAGTCACTGAAATTAAACTAGCTTTTTTTATAGCTTTACACAAAAACGATACTTAGTCAACTTTCATATTAAAAAAGTTAGAACTATAATAAAATACAAATAAAGGCAATTTCTTGCTTATGAGAACTCCACCACTGCAGCACTAATTTCAGGACAGGATGAAGGGAAGACAGAAGGTATTGGAATTCTTATAAATATAACTAAGATTAAAACTCTACCACAGACTTGCCTAATACAAGTTTTATCAAAAAAAAAAAAAGTTTTAACAGTACCATTACTTTCAAGTTCCAAATAACTTGTAATAACAGTTCTTGCAGCTTTCCATGAAACTGCAACAACTTAATCCGTTAAACCACATAAGTAACTGGCAACAAAATTAATCTGAGACAGGACCCTCTCCTAACTAAACTGAATCACACTGTTTTTCACTGAAGTTAATTCTAGTCTTCCCTGATCTTCGATTGCGTGCCACACATCTTGCAAACTTAGCCAAGTATCCGTGCAATGCTTCTCACTCTACCTTTGTTATTTAATCAGGTCTTCCAAATGCGTAAGGCCATCACACTGGTAGTTTCACTCCTAGTGCCAAACTACCATTCCTGATTTGCATAAAATATTTGTGAAAATGGTTTTAAAGCTACTCAGTTTCAGCTGTAGTTAAGTGCTTTTTTTTTTTTGGGGGGGGGGGGTATTGGTTTGCACTGTCTGAGGTGGAAAGATTCATGAAAAATTTTCAATGTGAACATATATAATGCTTCAAGTCCTATTAAGGTCACACTGCAGTGACTATCAAGAAGTTGTGCCCATTAGTATCACAGACTGGTGTAACATGTAATCAGTTAGCAGACTTACTCGTTAGTATAGCTTAGGAGTTTTCCTGATAAATGTTGTTACTTAGCAAGAACTCCCCTTATCTTCACAAGAATAAAGTGACCTAAAAGCGAGAGTTACTATAGCTGAAACTGGAGCGACAGACTAAGAAATCTGCATCTTCTGGAGACAAAGTACAGAAATAGGCTATACTACATTAAACTGGACTATTCATACACATACCATAAGTTATAAGCAGTAAGAAGAAGAAATAAGACACTCTCTTTGCCTTCTGAGCAAAAAACCTCTTTATTATTCACATACTAGAAATGCCGTTAGTCAGAATAAAGAAAAAATTGATTGGGCAGGTCTGGATCTCTACTGACATCCTGTTGGAAAAGCCATGCCCCAGACATTCGTACCTAGAAGGCGTAAAACTAGGATGAATGGAAAATACTGGCAATGTACAGCTACTGGAAAAATGCTGTGTGCTTCCCTAGACAGTCTCCCTTGAAAGTGACCTGCACTACCCCTGCATATTAACACTTTTCAGAAGCCTGCCTTCCATCAAAGGAAAGTCAGTAAATTTTAGCAAGAGAAAGACAGAAAGGATCTGGGGTGGAGCGAGGAGTCTTATCACTTCTGCTTTGCAAAACAGAGGGGAGAGGCTCCTGCCCTGAGGAGCCTACAGCTTCCAGCTGAATTCCGCAAGGACTCACAAACACAAAATTAACTTTCAGGAAAGCACATGAGTGATTTCAAACCTAAGTCAAAAAGTAACAGAGTCAGGAAAAAATGAGTTTTATAAACACTAAGAAGAAAGCCAAACATCCTTTACACTCTCCTCCTTAATACCATTCCTACACTATTATCTAGCTACAAAGGTTTTATTTCAGAAGAATACTACTTTGAAAATTAGCTTGATTAAATTTATGTAAAATTTATGGATTTACGCATAAAGTTACAAAATTAAAACACAATCTAGTATTGACTTTTTACACGTCAAAAAAACCACACATCTACATTCAAAGATAAATCTGAGCATTATCTCTGAAAAAAATTTCACCTATGACATAACTACCGTCATCTATCCAACCTACATTCAAGACCTCACAGATTTTTTTCAGCTTGCACTGAACTGACATCTGATGAATGTTGTATCTGCATCAGTAGGAAAAGAACACAGAGGAAAATACAGAGTATCTGGTTTGCTACCACAGGTAGCAAAAATTTAGCAATATAGTAAAAAGAGGTTGAGAAGATTGGGCTTCATAAGGAAACCATGTAATGAGGCCCAATTTCATCCTATTCTGTGTTCCATTTAACTGTGATTTAATGATAGCAACTGAATACTAGTAGAAAGAGTTCAAAACCCAACATATCCTCAAAAATTGTCTGAAGGTAACTTCATAGAGGTTAAAAAATAGAAAATACATTATTTTCCCATCATCCAAAAATCGAGCATTTTCATGTAGGGCAACGTCACACTTCTCAGTGAATTGTAAGAGGATATGTATCTCCAAAGAATCAGCTGCAAGAATTAGCCAATTAACAGAATTAGCTACAAGTTTTCCTTATTCCATTCAGAGATAAAAAGATTAGATTTAAATAATCTTTGGACCTGGTATAGCTGGCTGAATATGAGAGGTCACCAAACTACTACTTAGAAAAGGGTGCATACATGAGAACAAACTAAGGAAAACTTATAGAGTGTTTTTAACTAGCTTTGTAGAGGTAAGGGTTGAAAGAATTTGAGCTATGTATTTAATTTAAAAAAAAGATAAAACTTGTTAAGTCTACTAGCTTTTCAGTGTACCAAGAATGTGAATTTGCAGGATATCAATACTTTCTAAAGTTTCATTTTACTGACTCTTTAAAAAAAAAAAAAAAAAAAAAAAGAGACACAGAACCATAGCTTACATCTGAATACAAGCCATTCATCCACCTCACTGCATACTGAAGTTTAACTGAAATTTGTAATTACGCAAAAAATCTAAGAAAATACCCTCCAACACATACATTAACAAAGGCAGTCTTTGCAGTCAGCCTTTTTCAGTTCAGTAAGAATTCATCATTTAATCAATGTCAGTGCAGTGTGTACCCAATTAAAGAGACTTCACTGAAAAAAAATATGAAAAGGTGGAACTGTCTCAGCAATCAGTACACTGAAAAAAAATAGATAGTACAACTATGTTGTAAGCCTAATACTACAAGAGTGCAATTATGGAAGGTTTCTCTTCAGTAATTTTAAGTTTGAGAAATAATGAAAAACTACAAAGCCCAACCTAACTTATGATATAAAGTAAGTCATTTCTAGAGTGCTTGTCACTCCTGTACTGTCCACTTAAGTTATCTTCAACTTCGGAATGGGTTAAAACACTTGCTCAACTTTTCAGTTTCTTTTGCTTTTACTCAACTATTCTCTGCAACCTGTCTTCTACACCAAGCTTTCTACATACAGATGGCAATGGATGCCCGCAGAAGCAGAAACTACAAAAAAACACCCTCAAATACCTCCCCACATTTCTCCTCAATATTGTTAAAAGTTTTGTTTCCCGGCCCCCTCCCCCCAAAAAAAAAGCAACAGGCCACACTTGAGGAAAATCTGTTTTCTGCTCATCACTTCTAACTATGGTGTAAGTCCAAAGCTTCTCCTCTCCCAAGCTGCCAACACTGGAAGAGTTCCCATACTTCTTTGAGCCTCCTTCAAATGTGGATTTCTCCTCCTTTTTTTTAGATCTCTTGATTTTTATATCTTCCTGCATCAGAACGAACGCTTTCTACGCATCACAAGGTCCACGTTTTTTGCTGGAGGACTTTAGATATCTAAAGAATGTATCCTGGCATATGAAACTGACTAAGACACCCTGTCTGAAAAAAATAGCAATTTTTTTGTGTATCGTCTTTCACAGACGCAATCTGCCATACTACTCTGAACTCAAAAGCTGATGTTTTATTTTGTTGTAGCATACACTGCGAATTCAACATTTCCAAACAACAGTGAAGTGACAGTATATGAAGCATTTGTCTAGTTAGGTTTTATAATGATCATTAATAGAGCACTGCTCGTAATCGCATGAGATTTTCAAGTTACTTCTGGGTTTAGCTGTTAATACGGAATAAAATAAAAAACCCTTACTTTTTGCACATAACACAAAGTTTCTTTGGAGTAGGTTTGTGTGAGAATGATGAGAGGCAGGTAGTGGAACAGAAAAGGTGAGCTGATCCTTTTCGCTGATATGCGGTCTGTCCCTTCTGTAAAGGCTTTTTGCAGTTTGCACATGTGACTTTAATCTGTTTAGAAGGCTGCTGCTGGGCAGAAGGCTGGAAAATCTGTTTAGGAAGTGATGCTACTGGTGACAAAGAATCCACACCTGGTTGCTTCTGATTCCTAGGAAACGAAGCTGACTGGGATATCCAGGAATCTTAAAGATAAAAACCAAAATACATAAAGTTAAGTGAACAGACATTTACATATGCACGAAAACAGGAAAATACGCACAGATGCACTGTCGTAGAAGAGTTATTTGCTGGAACTGACAATTAACAGAGGAAAGCATTACTTATAAAGTTTAGGTTTAAAACACTCTCCACGGTCACAGAAAGCTTCAGAGCGTGAACAAGTCTCAAGATGGCCCCGTTCTGTATCTAGAGGCAAGTTTTACAGACCTTAATGGACTCGCAGTGTCTGTAAACTGGCAGCTGTACCTCCAGACAAATAAAACTGCAATTGCCAACTGCAGTTGAAAAGAGAGAGAGAAAACGTGGAATGTCTAAACTGAGTTTTCAGAGAAATAAGCTTTCCATACTTATGTTTAAAAACATGAAAACTTAGATTGTCATTAGTTATCTTGCTCTGAAGTAAGCTTTAACAAGCAACTGAAAAAGTAAGCATGTGATAAATCCTGGAGTCAGAGTTCCCATAACAGTTGCTTAGCCTACCTTCCAGCCAGATAACTGTACTGCAATTAGAGTCAAGTACAGTGGATCAACAAAGCCATGATCTACATCTATGTCAATGGCTCCTGTAAGACTTCCTGTTTTACTCAATAACCCTTTCAACGCAATGGCTATCACTCAGTCTCCAAACTCACAAATTTCTGAGAGTTTTGAAGACCTTAGTTTTCCTCAGCAGAAATCAATGAGCCTAGAAAATTACATTCCATTAAGTTCCGGCAGTACACAAATCCACCTCCCCATGTTCCAGACTCTGGTAGTCTTCTGTCTCTATTCCTGGACAATAGGCTACTACAGAACAAATTCATCTGTGGTCACTCTTTTATAGCGTAACATCTTACGGAGTAGCTTGCATAATAGGAACTTCAAGTAAAGTTTGCTGTCCCACAGAAACGCATCTAAAAATGTCACATGCTATTGTTGAACTACATGCTCAATACCCTGGTTTTATCCAGAATATACAGAGGATATTTTTGCCAGAACTATTAAAATTTAATTTCTAGGCTTTTCTCCAGAATTTAAGCTTTCATTTTAAATAATTATCATCAGAACGTAAAAACTTTGAGCTTTTGAAGGATGCCAAGAACGAGACATTTAAGTAAGGAAAAAAACCAAACCAAACCAACAAGCAAACAAACAACAAAAAAACAACTGAACAGGAGCTTCCCTGCATTACAACAACCATTTATACATATTTTCAGTGGTGTGTCAGCCATTCCAAAAACCGTCACAGCATGGGGATTTATCTTTTAAGACTGCCATTCCAAACACCTGAAACAGTATTTCACTACTAGGTTGGCATTTAACTACATCCTCGTCTACATAAATATTACTCTATTTTGTAAGTACTTGTGCTACCACTTTTCAGGTAGAATGAACACAGAATTTATGATAACTAAACAAAAATACTAAAGCCTCGAATCACTTACTGCAGTAACTCAATATGCTCCTGGAGTGTTATTACAATTACAACAACCACCAAACAAAAGAATTTTAAGTTCTACAGTTCAGGTGGCTACCTACAGATTTCAGCACTTGTCCATAACCTACTCATAATGCATATTACCTGGTCCATAACCATTCATTAAATCATATGAGGAAAGGCTCCCTTCCGATTAGTAAAGTCCTCCTTCCCTAAAGTCCTCCTTCCCTTAAAGGCTTTTATTGAGAACATTATGCAGTACAGTTAAAAAAATCAGTTTAGGAACATAATGTTCCAAGAAGCCTTGATACACCAACAAACAGCGGATATTCCTGTACAAGTGGAAGATCATTTCCCAGTATGACTCTGTAGCTGTCAAGGATGTCCTATTTCTTAAGCATGCAAGACAAATTGGAAAATGACCCATTATAAAGTGTAAGTATAAAGAGAAGAGCTGGGACAAAGACATGAGAAGACTGAAAGGAAGCAAAACAAAACACATTCTCCTTTAAACCTTTAGGCAAGTTTACTTTTTCAGCACTTGAGTCTCCACACAGACAAACTAAGACATGTTACCACAATGCTTGGAGTTAAATTTAACTTGAGTGCCTTCTTCAAACTTTTCTATACTATTGCATCAAATACCTCAGATAGATACATGCATCTCCCAGTAGCACTTTAATACATAAAAATGTTTTGAGATTTTCCTATTTTATGATAGCTGTCAAGAGCGAATGCACTGTATTTCTCCTTTGTCCTGGATAAAGGGTATGCCCAGTAAGATTACATAACACATGCCTGTAATTCTAGTAGCACTCAACTGCCGCTCACCAAAACATCAGTTTCAAACTTCCACCATCACTTCCTAGTGCCTCACTGAGATAATCTCAATATCTGCTTAAAATCTTAAGGCTGCAGACAGCCCTTCCAAATTGATGTTTTGTTGCATTTTTCCTTCCACAAACATACCACAAGAACATCTAAAAATGTATCTTCTTGCTTTTCCTTTTTTGCTTTCACCTTTTCCATTTTCCACCTTCAGACTTCATTTTTATATCATGATTTTGTCACATTTCACTTTCTAACCACATTACCTCCTCCACTTAACATTTTCTGTGAAGAACCCATAAAATGTTTTTCATGTCCTTGAACTGAGAAGGTATGTTACACTACCTTAGTTGATTTGTAATCAGTTTTGCATACTCCACTGTCCTAATGTCTTCCTCCTTCAGATTCCTATCTGCAAGTCTCTCCTTTAATGGTCAAGTTTATGGTACAGCTTTACGTTCGATCTCTTCTTCCTCTAATGGCAGTTTACAATGTCCCTATCCTTTCCCACTCATTCCCGCTCTAAACTCCTATAAAATTATTCCTTCCCCTCAACTGCACCAATACATTCATTTGTGGAGGCATCTCACAGAACAGCTCAATGTGATAATGCCATTTTAAAACCTTAAAGGCACAAGAAACTATATTAGCACAACTCAGATCAGGGAAGAAAGGTTTATGAACTTCTTAGAAGTATGCAGCTCTTGAAACAGAGAGCTACATCTACACTAGTTATCTGGTTCAGACCAGTGCACTTCTCAGCTGTATCTCCAGTTGTCCTACTTACTGCGTGTCGGTTCTGTTCTTGGACAGTTTTGATGCACAAGAACTAGATTCCTTTCAGAGAAACTAAACTTCAGTTCTAGCCCAAAAGCACTTGAAAAGTATTGCAAAGCTTATTAGGGACATTATGTCCCAAACTATGTGCGGGCCACAAGGTTCTCTAGTAGGCACCAAACACCTCCAATATAGCGGATGCGTTTAGCCTAGGTGAACAGGCTAACACTAATCCAAAAGAAATCTTCCAAACCACCTATAATGGGTTTGTGACCACATATAATGGACTCACAACTATATATAATGGAATTCTGATAAGCCTCACCATCAACCATTTTGATCTACTATTTTCCTCAGAAAGGACAGGTGTAATCTTTTCCACTAGGAAAATAAACAAATAAGGAAACTATACCCTAGGTTTGCTTCTTCAACGCTTCAAGTCTTTTTTATTTATATCTGGAAGCAAATATGATGACCAGTTCTTCTCCAAGATGCAAGCAAGAACATCTTTACGTAATGGACTAATCCCAAAAACTGCAAAACTTCTTTTGTAATTTATTATATTTAAGTCCTCATCTAAAGTTTCCACATACAACAAATGCTAACAAGAAGGACTCCTTATCTGTATTCATAGGTTACAACTTTCTTTAAAAGTTTGCTATTGATGTCTTGCATCCCATTTCTGAAAATGGGCAGTGGTTTTCAATCTGTGATCTTTTCATTATACAAAGAAAAGCATGTTTATCATCAGTAGGCTTAAATTAACCAGGTAGGATTCTTCACTTCCATTGAAAATATGTTAGAAATATGGAAATCAGAACAGATGCAACACCAGTGATCCAGAAAATATGAATCTATCCTCAGCAATCAGACAAGAGTTATTCAGACTACGTTAAACATATTTAAGAGAAAATTCTTCCTGATTATATTAGAGAAACTTCTAACAAGTAATGCTAACTTCTACTGACAAGCACACACTGAGTCTCTCTAGAAGAGAAGGAGGCAGCTTCTGAGGGGAAAAAAAACCAACCAAATATGAAATGTCTCTCTTGAAAAGTTGCCTTACATCTTTGCAAGTACAAAATCCTGTAAGAGATCCATACCTACCGTGTTTCAGTTTTTTTTCTTGTGTAAAAGTCATTTCCACTATAGCTGTCTTCCCTTTTTCCTCCTCTTGTTTCTTCTCATGCTCTTGGTCATTTTTCTTGTTCCTCTCTTGCTTGTTCTTTCTCCTTCCCTTTTACCTGTGGCAGCCCCTCCTACTTCCTTTTGAGCCTACTGCTCTTTACTACTTCGCATACAAAGACCACAGGCATAAAAAAGGATCCTATACAACCACATCTCACGTTCACTTGTAAATTTCTTTCTTCTTCGCTTCCAGTGAGTCCCTCTCACTGTGTCCTTAAAAAGACACCCAACCACTGCCCCACGTTCTCTGAGCTCAAACAATTTTGATACCGCTATGGTCCCTGCATATCAGACTTGACACCTCCAAAATTCTGGTGTGTCCCTGTTAATCACACCAAAAATAAAAGTATAGTATTTCAAGAGAAAGCCCATGTTGGTTTTCTTAAGACAAACAAAGGCAATATTTGAAGGTAGCAAATACCATAAGTTCCCATATGTCTGTGATTATTTGTGACCATCTGTAACGACACAATAATCATACCACATCTGAGAGATTAACTATCAACAGTGGGAATGTTATTTTTAAAAGTTTAAATAGGAAGTGAATTTCTAAATTATCTAATGAAGACAATTAGACAATAAACATATCTAAGCTTTCAACTTCACAAGTCAAGCTCTGAAATTAGTTTTAAGATTAAGACAGTTTTAAAAAGCAACATTAATGACTGACTTCTTTTAAAAGAAAGCTTAGATGTATACTGTCATTTCTATAGCACAATAAGAAAGGTAGTAATACTTTTGCAAAAGGACATTCGGTAATATATGACCAAACTGAAGAACTCTATTATTTGTTTGTTGAAAAACAGGTTAAAAAAAAAAAAAAAAAACCTATGGGTTTTAATCGGTGTGTTAGCAAGTTAAGAAATTGGGTATTAACACGGGTCTACTGCACCTGGATTTTAACTGTTCTAGATTTTCCTTTTAAAATGATCCTATTCAAGTTGAAGTTAAACCTGTGGCAAAAGTCATAATTTGTTTTCCCCATGTCTAGCCTTATAGGGCAGTAGAATGTCAGTATGCATTAGAACTTCACCTTCATACTGAAAGATTTTAAACTGCGTATGTGAAAGCTTAAATTCTGTAGAACATATTTCCAGAAGACCATTCACAGCTGCCCTATTTTGCCATTAGCGAGACCTGTTTACTTGCTAAACAGGAGACAATTTACTGCTGTTTTCATGCAGATACAGAAATAAAACAGCCAACTCGTAACCTTAATTAATATTGCATAATACAATACATGTTATCACAGGTGACTCTAAATACCAACGTGTATATAACTTACTGCAGGAACATGTGAGTACACAAATAACTTGGAGCTCATCTTGTTAAGCATCGTAAATACTGAGAACTGCTATTATGTAGTGTATTATGTTAGCTAACTACTTGTATGATTTTAAGATCAGACTTTCAAATTCAGTTTGCTGCATACCAGATAAAATTCAGATGACAAGACAATAAAAATTAGCAAAATAATACTTATTTAAATAATTTGTTATACTAGTCAGAACTGCATAATAGTTTTATTAACAGGAAATGCAAAAAAAAGTACAAAAGTTGCATAGATGCTCTAACCTTTATTTGTGTGCATTAAAGGGGTACACTGACGTCATAAAGCAAGCTTTGCTTTTTAGATACATATACTTACATCTTAAGACGTCTGAAGGCATTACAGTTTATCCTACCCAACACACTGTCATTGACTGAGCATATTTTATTCCAGAGAGTAACGTACAGTTGTGATGGGGATGAAGGAAACCGAGCTCTTTTCTAATAATTAAAACTAAAAACACTATACAGCATAACTTCTAAAAACATTTTAATCAAATATTCTGTGTTTTCTTTTCAGCTTTTAAGGAAAATTTCAATATTATAACTTACCAGGATTATGATGAGTCACAGATTCTCCATTTTGAAATACATCTCCAGCCACACTCATCCTACCAGGATTGAAAGGTCCTACACCAGTCTTGGTCTGTGAAGTTAAAGATGGGGTGTATGTTTGTATATTAACACCAAAATTACTTGACTGCAGTCCGTTAGATACATCTCCCAAGTTGGAATTCTGCAATGATGTTACATGTGTAATCATTAAGTTCATGTCACGCCCTTCAGCATTTTCTAAATGACCATCACTCACAGAGCTCATAGGACCTGTTTCTAATGTGGTAACATTAGCAATCTGAATTTCAGAGTCTGGTTCTGTGGTTATACCACTATTACCAATTCCTGAATTTACCTTACTTCTTGAAAAACTGGAAGCTGAGAATTCCAGATCGGTGGTTCTGTTTTTACACTCTGGAAGTCTTCGTTCATTAAAACTGGAAGCGTTCTTCTCTTGTCCTTGATTTGTTTCAATATCTTCTTCATCATCAATAATAATAGTTTCACTTATACTCCCCTTTTGAGTATTTAAGTCTTTTGGAGGAGGAAGCATCTTGGAATCATTCCCTTGAAGGTCTTCATTTTTTGATGACGTAAACGCAGTGTTCCTTTGATCTGGTATCAGTGACGTAGAAGTTTGTGGAGCTTGTACAGGTTCAATAAAAACTACATCATCATCATCTTCTATAGGCGAGTTTTGGAATTTATTAGGTCTAGAAACTAAAGAACTGGGTGGACCTCCAAACGTATTTCCTACATTTGCGAGGCCCGTTGCCATGATGGTACTCCCTAGCAGACTAGGGGTATGTTCAGACAATTCTAATCCTCCCAGAGAACCTGTGTCCATTCCAGACCTGCTGTTTAAAGAAGAACACAAGGGGAGGGAGACCAACTTCAGAGTGAGATTTAACTTTCCAATAACAGTTTTTAAAATAACTATAGAATTAACATAGTTTCAGCTTTTACTTGTTTTCTCTTCCTGAGATCATCCAAAGAAAATACTAGTTTTTTTTTTTTCCTTTCTAACACTACACTAGCAAGAGATATTGCCATTACCAACACTTCCCGCATAACAGCTACATGATTGTTTAGCAAAATACATATACACACAGTGGAAACGGAATTCGTTGGCATTTATTACATGAGTTTGATTTCTCAGTCCCCCTCCCACCCTTTCATATAAAATGATCCTGTAACACTGCTTTTGTTTAACTGCAAAGCAAGAACAAGGTTTAGACAAGCAGATCATTTTGCATATTAATAGTAAATCATTTTGCATATTAATAACCGTGCAGTTCGACTGATTTTCCTCCAGCTCCACATAGTCAGAAGCTCCTTACACAGCCCCAGCATAACTGAGGCACAGAAGCAAGAGCGCTTTGGAACTGCTGCATGCAATGAGAAGAGATCACCACCAAGTAACGGAGGATGCACAGCAACAGCTTGTTTCTAAGTCACTGCAGGAGGCAGCTCATCTGAGGCCCTGATTTTACTACCTCACGTTCCACTGAAGCTTTCAATAACTATCTCCTTTCTCACTTTCAGCATGAGATGCTCCTTCAGGCTCCTTCCCAGTTGTTACTTTGTTCATGGGTTTCTGTATGCTGTTAGTAATTTTACAGTTTGAGGAGCCTGCTGTTTACAACTGTCAATTCTAGCACCAATTTCAAAGTATCAAAAGGCAAGCAGGTTAAATTATTTCTGTATCTGTAATTCCAAATAAGTATACAATCATATATATAATACAAACAATACAGAGAAACACCTCTGTAAAGAACATTTGTACCAGAAGTTAGTAAATTAAGCCGATATTGATACCAAGAAAAATACAGACATAATCATCATATAATTTGGGTACGTTTTGGAGTATATGCTGATGGGCGATTCCAGCGAGCCTCTGTGCAAAGTTAGAAGCAGCTTTCCGTGTATTTTTATAAATCCTTTTTAAAGAAAAGTGAATAGGAGAAGTAGAAAAATGCTGTTCGTTACTTACCCATGCAGAAATCCACTGCAACCTGTTTACCTTAATAAGTTACTCCAAGACTTTTCCCTCGCCTTTTCTGAGGAATCTGCTCTTGCATCAACTTGCTGCCCTCCACAAAAACACCGTGTTCTGGAACAGGGTTAAAACAAATATTAAATTTCTGAAACACTTTCTTCATCTCTAACCTCTTTGTACTAACTACTTTTATTAAACTTATTTCCTTCTAATTTACGGTTCAGATCTGATTTTTAGCACTGTCATTATACTATATTAGAGAGAATGTCTATCTATACAATTATTACCAAAAGTAAAGCATGAACATTGTTGCTTATTCTAGATTTTCTACTTTGTCAACTCACATTTCCAGAATCCTTTATTTGGTACTATATAGATAGATGGAAAAAAAATATTGTTTGGCAAGAGACAAACATGACTGCAATTAAGTAATCAAATACTAGAATTAAAAAGTATATTTGAAATAAATAAAGGACGTAACTGCTTCAAATTGAGCTGTTGCCAGAAAAGAAGCCTTAGCAGTTATGCTACTTTTCCATTTACCATGTCAGCTTCCCCTATGCTTGTAGCAGATTATACAGTGTTTAAATCAAGACATGGCAAAGGGAAAATTGCAAAACATACATTATAAATCAGGCTTACAATGCAACATAAGCCTTACATTACTGATTTTTTCCAACTTGTATATACTGCACTGAAGTGATACTTAACACAATGAGATTCAGGATTCTCACTCTGACCAGACATCTATAGCTTATGTTAATACATATGCCCATTCACAAGAGACTGAAAACGTTCAAAGTTCAAGCCTATATTTATTCTACAGGTTTTACAACAGTCATTAGGTTTCCCAGACTTAGCAGTGTTTTTACAATGGAGAGTATCAACTCGTGTAGTTATCTACCGCTTGAGGACAGCCGTTAGAATTCCCAGGCAGTAAAGAGGCCCAGAGGAATAAGTCTCAAATATTCTTCAAAGCATTTACAACATTATTCAAGCCCTCTTGTCCATTTACTAAGCTTCGGGGGGAAAAAAATAAAAAATCCAAACAGCAAAGCTGTGAACCAGATTAATCCTAAGAGGTGGTACCCTCTCTTCTAATTCCTTCGTATGTTAGCCTTATAGCTAAATGCCATTATATAACAGCATTTGAACAGTAATAAAGGTAACATTCCAGTGAAATGAAATACATTTTCTTACCAAAAAAATTGTATAATCAATGCAGTTTGTTTGCACCTCCCTGGAAATCAGTTGGTTACACTGAAGATTAATTTAATCCAATATTCTTTTACATATCACATTTTTCCCTATGGGGCTGAGTAATTCAAAGCCAGATTTTCCTATATCTCAGCTTTTGCTGAAAAGAATTCCTTTAGTTCATTGATTCTTAAAGTTTCTCAGTTTCATTTCACATATTTTCTTCCACAACAAGCACAAAAGCATCACAAGCATATAAAGCTTTTAATAAACCTTTAAATGTACCTGAACAGACGGGAGCAAAGAGAAAATGAGAATATCCCAAGATTATGCCTCAGTCCTGAATCAGATCTTTGCTATTCCTATTTTTACAGATCCTTAGTAGAAAGACAGACTCGGGTCTTATCTTTGCTACACGTCACATGCGTGTATTGTAATACAGCATAAAATACACCTTTTTGCCTAAACACATTTTCCCCTCTCCCACAGGCTCTCCAAAAGAATTGTTTTAGTGACCTAAACGTATGTCAGTATGACATAAAAATAAGAAAAGCTTATGTGCTTAACTGTTACTGAACACAGTCATAAGTAAAATCTGCATATTTTCCTCATAAATATCATCTCCTACCTCTGTAAGGCTCGGCAATGAAATTTCAGAAACTCACAAAATTGCTTTTTGTAACAGCCTGCAACAGGATGGAGTTAGTTTTCTATGAATGTTTGCATTGATGAAGAATACAAAACTACACAAGGAATGTTGCAGTGAGTATTTTTAAAGTGAAGAACTACCAAAGGAGGAATAATCTACAGAATGAAAATAAGAAATTTGGGGCAGAAAAGTAGGAAAAAAACACTCGCAGCCCGCAATTGCTAACAGTGAGAGATGCTTAATGAAAGAAACATGATTGCTAGACTCCCATAAGATCGACTAGACTGACTGCTAGATGATTTGTTGAGACTTTGAAAAATAAAGGGAAAAAATCAAAAACAACAAGAAATGGTGAGAGTTAGTCTGCAAAGAATGCAAGTGTTAATGCTGCTGCAGAATGAGCTCAATGCTTTGTGGTAACATAGAGGCACCAATACTATAGCCAGATGGAAACAGAAGCACCACCAACATACAACAGCCCTTCCTGAATCAGGCTTTGTATGTTCTCCTTCTAAATGAGGATACACCATGCATGTATAAAAGTCTTCATGATGAAATAAATCATAATCCCATAGCTACACTCAAGGCTTTTACTGGAAGAAATAAAAGGCAAAATGCAGGGATTTCTCTAGCAGGATGGCAAATACCACAACTTCTAAGGCAGCCAGGCCCTACAAAATGCTTCGTAGGTCAATCTTAACAGAACAGATGAATGGAAAAGAAGTTTTAAATTTATCAGGAACTGGAGATTTGGGAGAGAGTCCTACATAAAGATTAATCAACTCTACCTCTCCACCTTTACCAAAGCTAAAATTGAGTTTAAACGCCTTTATTAAGGAATATTACTAACACCAGCAAGGAAGGTGGCAGAAACATAAGAGCACAGTCATGCTTACACACACTTAGAGCAAAGTCATAAAAATGAAGAGGAATTAAGTGAAATCCAGCTAAAACTACTGCTCCAACTAAGCAGGGCACTTGGAACAGGCATCCAAACTAAGATCAACACACCTGCAATTCAGTCAAAAGCCTAAAAATTAAAAGGGAAAACTTGAAAGACTGGTTTTGGGAGAACACTTAGTAACTAAGATACCTCCAAAACTACACGGATTAATAAAATTGACGGGATAGTGTTATACTACAGTACAAACAATACAGGCACAAGAGTGATTGATTTGCCTGCGTGGAGGAACACCACGTTCTGTTTTAGCAAACCCGGGTCTTCACTAAATTATTTACCTCAACAGGTCCTGCGCTACATTTAAATTCCATATTCAAGAAGAAGTGGCATATCAATGCTATACTCCCAATCGCTTCAACTTGATGATGACAGCAAAGGCGTATGGAGGAACAAAACGAGGCTGCAAAGGCTAAACACTAATAACTGAGGACTTCAACCACTATTGTTTAGACTGGGAGAAGAAGGCAGATACAAACAAGCAACGATGGAGGCAATTTCTTACCACGCTGCTGACTTAATTAGCCAGAAGGCTAATACAAAGAAAAAGAACTCTGGATCTTATTTTGAACCATGCAACACAGTTCAAGATGTAATTATCAAGATAACACTCCAGAAGAGCCCATTTTAACTCAAAGGAGAATGAAAAAAAATAATTCACTACTGCAACATTTGACGTCAAAAAGTAGAACGTAAATGTAACGAAGCCAGTTAAAAGGAAACGAAACGGAGCATCTAGCAAGACAAAAAGCTGCTCAAGAGCACGGAGGCCATTTAAAAACTCACATATGAATTAATTAACCACGCTAAAAAGACCCTAAGGCCACAATAGTTAAATGACTGAGTAAAGATGACTAGGAGGACGGGCTATTGAGCTATGTCAGAACAAAGGCCTGCAACACAACTACCCTTGTACAATAGTAAAATTTTCCTAAAGGAAAGAGTACCCCCTGAAGTCTAAACCACAGCAGAAGACACAGAATACATTCTCTGCATTGATGTGCTGTAAGGAAGAGATAGGGAAAATCACATCAAAGCTCTCTTTCTACGGGTCACGTCGGAACAAAGATACCATACTGAAGTGCCAATAGAAGAGGATTTTAGAACAAATCACCAGGGCCATGTTGGCATTCACTTAAAATTTCTAAAGACAGTCAGTGGTTATATATTTCAGTATCCGTAACCACTTACTTAAACAAGAAGGTGATTAAAAACTGCCCAAATAATTACAGACGACAGTCCTATACCCATTGCTATAGAAATTGATAGAAACTACAGCTAAATAAATACTACAGCAAAATATAAGATATGGGAAAGAACTAAAATGCATTTTGCAATGCAAAACTAACAACTCATGGGGCTATTAGAAAGGTCTTTTGAAAGATTTGCATGCTTGTTGACCAGCACTAATTAAACCTGCATAGAGAAGCCATATTTCCAAAAGGCATTCAACAAGATTGCTCAATGAAGACTGCAGTGGAAATGATCTGTCATAAGACTTGAGAAAGGGTCCTCTTGTGCATTTGTAATTATTTGAAGAGAAAGAAATAAATCATGCCTTGTTTCCTGTTATCACAATAAAGAGAAGTGACCCATAGGGTCCTTAAAGAAAAAGCTACAGGTTAACATATTCTACATAAATCAACTATAAAAAAGGACTACCAAAGTGACAGTTTCTTAATGATATAAAATTATTTGCAGTAGTTGAGAACAGAAACTGACTGGAAAGAACTGCAGAAGGGTATCACAATGCTGAACAATCAGACAGCGTAACGGGTAAAATTCGTTGGCAACAGATGGAAGACAAACAGGGAGAAAAGGTAACTACAAACAGACTTCTGATTTAGAGAAATCACTAAGATCCAGATTGCGATCACTCTGTGAAACCAAATCTACTTAGACATCAATGACCAAAGAGGAGAAACACAACCTCAGGAATTCTTAAAAGAAGAATTAAGAACAATACAGAAAATATCTGTTGCCACATGAAAAAGAAGCTGCTGAACTGTGTGAGGGTTTTTTGGTTTTGTTTGCTTTTTGTGTATTATATGAAAGGAAAAGTCTTCTCTTTGGAAAAGAAAGATGACTGATGAAAGGATGATAAATCTGTAAAAATAAAGAATACAGAACAAACGGAAAGTTATGCCCACTATCTTATAACATACAAGCATAAAGGCAGCCAGTGAAAGTTACATATATTAATCTATTTAATAATCTATTCTGTAGAAAGGCATTTTCTTTTCTTAATTGTGAAAGTGACTGCCACAAAACGCAACAGAGGCCAAAAAATGCAATCAGTTCAAACAGAAA